CGACGAGAGAGAGAGAGCATGAGCAACAATGATGGCTTTGTCTGGCCACCACGCGAGCCTATGCATCATGCCCATGCCCCACCCACGACGCACCTGTAGTCATCCCAGAACACCCTGAGCAGCCCAATGTACCTATCGAAGCCATTCAGGTCTCCCGCTCTGATGGCAGCAAAAGCTCCAGCTTCCAAGATATCCCTCGCTATAGCCAGATCCTTTGAGTCCGCATCGGGAGTAGGACAAAGCAGATTGTGCACTGCCAATTGAGTCTTGGCATCCGCCAGCACTTTGGGACTGGGATTGGATTGAACGGCCGAGAGGACGCTGGAAAGGGACATTTTGGCGGCGTATATGTGCACCGAGCGGGATGTCGGGCTCTGGACCTGGGCAGCGAATATGCACTCGATTGTGTGCAGACGTCTTGCTCGGATGGGAATTGCACGTGCACGTAGAGGTGTGGACGCCAGCAGACTGCGAGTCCTGGTGAACGAAATGCAGGTCTTGCACAGAGGATGCCAGACTCTGAATGCAACGCTGATGAGATTCTAGTGAGAGTGAGAGTGTGAGTGCGTGAGTGACTTGCATCATGATCGAGCAGGTGTCACATCGAACAGGACGCGCGTCGTAGGGTTTGGCCGGTTGAAAGCACGTGACTTGCGCACCGACCATGCGCGAGACGCGAAAGCGCTTCCCTGGCCGCGTCAGTCAGCATATCCAACGCCCAACGAACGCCCTTTGGTGAACTGCATGTCAACCCCCACCCGCAACCCCCCACCTTTGTACAAGTCAGAAGCGCGACCATCCGGGCTTGACACGTCTGACACTTCGCTCTTCCACGGGGACAAGAAAGGAAGCAAGACTCCTCTCCCAACAACTTGACATCTCCGCACACATCCGGGCACAATGTCGAGATCCTACGATCGTGCGCTGACCGTCTTCTCCCCAGATGGTGAGCTTCCAAAGGCCTTGAATTCATCTCCTTCTTGATCTGTCCCTGACATTGCCCCCCCTCGCACTCTGCCCATCTCAGGTCATCTCTTCCAAGTAGATTATGCAGCCGAAGCGGTGCGAAAGGGAACTTGCGCCATTGGTGTAAGGGGTAAAGATGTGGTGGTGCTGGGAGTGGAGAAGAAGAGCGTGTTGCAGTTGCAGGATGCCAGGACTATCAGAAAGACGGCCATGCTGGACGATCACATTTGTTTAGCTTTTGCTGGTGAGTGATGACCGGCGGTGCGCGGTTGATTTGGGAGAATTGGGAGAATCTGGAAAAGCAAAAAGTGCTAGCGCTGCCAAGATGGTCAACGGGGTATCGGCGGGCGAGCGCATACATGGTCCCGCCCGGCCTCGTGCTGTAGAGTGACTTGGGAAAGGGACTCGCCTTGGGCCTATCTGCAGACTGAAAGCTTCGAGGGCTGAACGACTTCCAGCTCGACTCGCTTGCGCAATCTTGCTGACAATTGCTCTCCCACGCTCACTTCACGCCCAGGTCTCACTGCCGACGCTCGCATTCTGATCGACAAGGCGCGCATCGAGTGCCAATCACACCGACTCACAGTCGAGGATCCGGTCAGCGTGGACTACATCACGAGGCACATTGCAGGCATTCAGCAAGTCAGCAGCCTTCCCATCTGTGCTTTCCCAAGGCTCTAGCTGACGTTTTCTCTTCCTCCTCCTCCGCACCACCTCGCAGAGGTACACTCAATCCGGCGGAGTACGTCCATTTGGTTTATCTACAATTCTGATCGGCTTTGATCCGAACGAAGCTGTTCCTCGACTGTACATGACCGAACCCAGCGGTATGTACAGCGCGTGGAAAGCCGTGGCTATCGGGAGGAGCAGCAAGACTGTGCGTGAATTCTTGGAAAAGAATTGGGCAGAGGATCTGGACAAGGAGGCTACGATCAAGCTGGCCGTCAAGAGCTTGCTAGAGGTCGTGCAGACTGGCGCCAAGAGTGAGTGGTTATGCGCATCCGGAGCTTAGCCACTCTTCCCATTCCATTGGCTCACTTTGGTACGCTTCACAGACATCGAAATTGCCATCATGGAAGGATTTGGAAAGGTCAGAGTGAGTTGTGATATTAGCTTTGGAGCTTTTCCGTCGATCGATCGTTGATCTAGCTCACGGTACTGTCCATCTCGCCTCTTGATTTCACTCCGCGCTCACAGAACCTCGAGCTATCAGAGGTGGAAGCGGTCGTGACGCAGATTGAAGCGGAGAAGGAAGCGGATGCAGAGAGGCGTCGCACGAGGTTGGCAGCTACCGCTGGAGCTCAGGCTTCTCTTGGTGCAGGTGCAGGTGCAGGTGCGGGTTCTGGCAGCTCATAAAAGAGCATCAGGTATACAAAGACCTGCGCACGCATACAGAGGCAATACATAACACGGCACGTGAATCAATGTTTGACCGCCCGAGTTTCCATCCTACGGCCGAGTGAGACGACTTCTCTGATGCTCGATGTGTGTCTCAAGCGAATCGTCATTGGGACGGCGATTTGCATCCCTCGCGATGCGCTGGGCAGAGCCGCGACGAAGTATGACGATTCATCTCGTGAAGGACGTCTTTGGTAGGCGCGGTGGGATTTGCGCTCAGGAGATCCCCTTCCCTTTGTGTGGCCGTCGTTCCCACACGAAGGAGCTGGGTCGAGCAGCTTGATGCACTCGGAAGGGCGCTTTGTTTGCGAATGATCAGCTTCAAGGTCTCCATTCGCGACTGATCGAACGCGCGGTTTGGGAATCACATGTGCGACGTGCGGCTTCTGACGGATGATCAGCGATTCGTCATTCGTGAGTCACGAGTACGAGGTGCACTGCGCGGTCTCGCTTGATTGTATTACCAGGAATGTGGCTGTAGCATTGAGATTGATACACCATTGAGATTGCACCCGAGCTTCGGTAAGGCATCTCGTGCGGGTGCGACCTTTTTCTCTACCACGAAAGCTTCTTCCGACTTTGAGAATGAACCAGCAGGTACGAAGGCGTGAATGCTCTCGGATCAAATCACAATCGCAATCGGGAAGTCAATGCTCCGTGCGAGTGGGCATTTCCATGCAGCGACAAGTCATTGTGCGGCGCAGAGAGGCCCGTTTGTTAGGTTGTTGTCACCCTTAACTTACCGTTACGAATTGCTGCTGTTGCGGCATGCGCAACCGCGATGCAGCAGTACTTTAAGCAGAGCAGAGCAGCGTAGAAAGCAAGCAAGCAAGCAAGCTAAAAGGAGAGCGCACAGCGTTACGGGGAGCAGTGTCAGTCGTGAGCGTGCACGGCGTGAGAACTGTGTGTTCGGCTAGGTAGGTACCGTCACGGCACATGCGTGTAGCCGCATGTCGTAACTGCGCGTCTAAGTGTACTGTACCGTACAGTAGATCTGCCGGCAGCTAGGCTGACCGACCTAACCCCAGGCTTTTGAAGGAAAAGCAGGAGCAAGACGAGTCTGTCGAGTGGTGCGTTATGTTTGGCCAACCGAATGGGACTCTGCGAGCAGACAGCAAGTCGACGTTTTTCATCCTCCCTGCTGCTGCTCGTGCGCACCACGATCATCTGCGACGGCCACGCACACCCAGCTGCGGATTCGCCTGCTCACTAAAGAACATGAAAGCTTCGTCGAAAAAGAGCCAGCTCTACGGTGCGTGTCTGCTCGCAGCCATGAGCCTGCTAGCAGGACGCGCATCCAGCGAGTCTCTTGCTCCCTCTTACTTTCTCGACGAAGCTCTGATCAAGAGGGATTCCATCCCGGATCCGCGCGCACCGTCACCGCACGTCGATCTCAGACCACCTCGGCATGCCAGGCACGGCTCTTGGGAGAATGCGGTCAAGAGGAGTCAGCAGAGAGCAGAGAGGAGGAGGAGAGTGGAGGCTGCTTCGAGGGACAGACCCTCGAGCAGCGATGTCAACATGAACGACAAGGTTCAGGAACTTGGGCATCTTGGAGAGTGAGTCGAGTGCTGCACATTTGAGCAATGCGCTAGGCATCAGCTAGGAGCGTGCGATTGGCTTTGAGCGCGTTAGCCCGCGCAATGGTCGCCCCCCATAGCGCAAGGGTACGCCAATGGAGTCTGATATGGCAAGCTTACGTTCCGTCGTGCCTCTCTGCGCGCAAAAGTGCATACAACGCACCCGTAAACATGTCGAATCCAGCTCAACTTGTATTTGTAGAGCTGGACACTGGCTCTGCAGATTTATGGGTCGTCTCATCGTCGTGCAACAACCAACAGTGTCAAGCACAAGATCTGTTCAAGTTTGACGAAAAGGCTAGCGGGACTTATCGTCAGCTGGCAGTAGAATCCAACGTCAATGTCAACACAACTTCGAGCAGCACAAGCACTGCATCCAATGGTACTCTGTCCAATGGCGAGCAGCGTGCAGCGCGAGCAGAAAGCGAAGATGCTCAGCTTGGAGACCGCGGTGATGAGGGCTCCGGAAGTGTGCAACGCCGCGCGCCAAGTCGACGCCCTGGTTTTGGCTTGTTGCGCATGTTTGCCGCCGCTCCAAGTAGCAGCGGCAACGCAGTGCCCTTCTCCATCACTTACGATTCCACCGAGACGGCGACGGGCGTGCTGGGAGTGGAGAACATCACGCTGGCCAACCTAGGCGTTTCTCAGCAGATATTCGGTCTGGTGAACAGCACCAACATTACGCTGCAAGAGCAGGGAATCTCTGGAGTGCTGGGATTGGGGTTCACTAGGAGCAGCGCGATAGCTAGGAGCTTGTTCAATGTGACGGAGCAAGTGCAAGGAAAGAGCACGCCGTTGATGACTTCGTTGATCACCTCCTCCGACGTCTCATACCCGCTCTTTTCGCTAGCTCTCAATCAGAGCGGGGGTCGCTTGACCGTAGGTGCCATCGATACTGCCTACTTGCCCGACAAGCAAGCAAGGCTCGATGTGGCTTGGTATGATGTGGTGCCTTTCCCATCCGGGAACAGAGCCGCGCCAGAAACGTCTCTTTCCAACCAAGAAGCTCGAGTACTTGGATCGTACGCGTACTGGGCCCTGCGACTCACAGGTGCCGGGGTCAATGGCACGGGCGTAGACATTCGTCCGACGTACAGTCAGGTAGGAACGGACCCCATTGCTCTGATCGATTCGGGCACGCTGGGCATCGTTGGGCCATTCGATGCGGTCGGCAGACTCTTTGACCAGATATTTGGGGCTAGATACGTCGGCGATGGTCGTTGGGTCGTCCCGTGCGACACGACTGTCCGCATGCACGTTAGCTTTGGCCCTCAGCGAAACTTCACACTGCTACCTAGTGACTACTGTGAGTGGAATGCCGAGCCAAAGACGTCGTATGTCGTCGATGCTGACGAGAGTGGAACACTTGGTAGTGATTGGACCGGCTGTTGGCAATCCGTACCTTTGCTTGGCTTGGCCAGCTGCCGTTCCTGCTTCACCGGATGGTGTAGACTGGATCCTCGGTCAAGCCTTTATGCGAGCGCAGTACTCTAGTGAGTCAGGGGCAAGCGCGTTACCATGATCGCACTGCGCATTGACGTAGTGATGGGACCGTGCCACACAGTCTTTTCGCTAGGCATCGAGGGAAAAGAGCCACCCAAGATTGGCTTTTACCCTTTCCGGGCCTCACCCTCTGCTGAGAGCTCCTCGCTCTACGCGCCAGAGCCCACAGCCTCCCTCTCCTCTTTTCTCTCAAGCATCGCAACTGCCATAGCGACCACCTTGCCCAACTCTATCGTCCCACTCCTCGCACCCACCTCTACCGCCTCCTACATCTTCCTCAACGCTACCCAGACCCCTTCGTTGGGTCTCTTGCCGACCTTGGGAGCGGGATCGAGAAGCTACTCGGCTTTGATATCCCAAGTCACGGGAAACGAGGTGCCGGTTATTGCCAACGATAGCAGGCAGGTCATTCCTGCCCCTCCCAACCCCGCCGCTACAGGCAAAAAGGATGGCGCAAGCAGATCGGCCACATTGGACTTGCAGCTGCAGCTGCTTTGTGTTGCAGTGGTGCTGATGACTAGCACCGTGCTGCGAATGCTAGACTGAGCCCGGCGCACCTCACATGCACACTGCAAACATCCAAGCACACGCATCACAAGCCTCTAGCGCGACTCCGACGTTGTATTGTTCGCCTTTCCCCGCTCCGGCCCATCCTCTTCCAGTCTCACGCTTGCTCATGGACACTAGCACTCGCTATTTTTTAGCGGAGCAAGGAGACCGCAAAAAGTACCGCATTGTTTCTTTCCTGCCTTGCTCCTTCAACCCTGTCATACCAATCCCGTAATACCCATTCATCACTTCGCGCATTTCGCAAGTCTGGAACTTGATGCGGGATTAGGAGACGAATATGCGCACGTTGTAGGTCATCTGCGGGAGTGCGGATTTGGATTTGGATGTCTCGAACTGGGGCCCCTCCATTTTGCTTTGGTGCAAGGTGCTTGCTGGAGCAGCGGGTGCGATGTTGCCATTTTGGGGGGTGGCGTGGTTTGGGCTCTTGCACATTTCTTGGGGGGCAAATCCCGTACGCGGGGTCGTTGTCTTGTCCCTCCTTCGTATCAGCGATTGGGCATGTGCGCGGAAAGAAGCAAGATGAGCATTCGAATTACACGTGTAAAGCATCGCCGAGGGGGCTATGATGCTTGATCCGCTGATGCTAATGCTAATGCCGATGCTCCCTCCGCTGCTCCAAACAATCAGCAAGATGTGACCTGATTTCTGCATTGGACTTTGCCCGAGCAAAAGCCCTAAGCAAGAACGCAACGAAATTTGAATGTTCAAGTGGTTTTCTGTTCATCACTTTTCGAATGCCCCCTTTGTACCCCACGAAGGTCCAAGCGCCCCATATTTTCCCAATCGAAGGAATGAGGGCGAGGGCCTCACCTCGCCCAGCCTATTGGTTGCAGCGCTTCTAAGAACCCACTTACCTTGCGATCGAAAGTCGAGTTGAAGATGGGGGGACGCGACTGGCGAGACGCATCATCTGCTGAGCTTGTCCTTCTGGGCCCGTTCCCAGCGAGTGTTGCGCTTTGATTGATCCAAGGAGGATTGCGCACCAAAGACGGTTCGTTCAGATGCTTTCTGATCCTGCAATGTAAGGGCACGAGCCCAGCTGTGGGCCTCGATCCGTCGCAATTCGATCAAGTCACTGCTCTGTCACAGCTCGACGAGATGCGCAGCGAAGGTAAAGGGCGGAAAAGAATAAAGATTTTGGGAGGGGCGGGGGATGGTGACTGTAGAGTTGCCGGTGTTCAAACACCAGACAAACCCCTCTGTCTCCTCCAAGCATCGACCCAAGCTACGATGCGCTCCACATTCTCCTCTACCTGCTCCGCATTCTCGCTCTTGAGCGCAACGACGATCTGCTCATCGTAAGCTTCGTGAGCTTCGGAAAGCACGACTTGCATGATTTCCGCGCTGTTGTTCTCTTGGATCTTGGCCAAGGGATAATTGCTGGAGCAGGGGGGCAAAGAGAGGAGATGCGACGCGTTTGAGTCGTGCGCGCACGCCTAATCAGCGTCGGGTTGCACAAGAATTGTCGGACTGCTGAGACATTTGGGGCGCGGCGGGGCGCGGCGGGGCGCATGGGCGCGGACGAACAGCCCTTTTGGTCTGAAGGCGCAACTTTGTGCGATTCGCATCGCAGGCTGCGCCTTGACAGCGCGACATCCGCTTGCCCGCAGCATTCTTCTAATTCTCAGACGTGCAATGTACGGCACGACACGACACACGACACACGTTACTCACCGCTTTTCGAGCCTTTTCCAGAGGATGGCATGGTCGCATGTGAGGACGACGACGAGATCGACCCATCTTTCGGGATAAGCATCGCAAGTATGCCAATCCAAGATCGTTCCTCCATTCCTCTCCTTCTCCTTCTCATCCTCTTGCACATTCCCACCATCCTCCCCCTCCCCCTCCCCCTCCACCTCCACAGGCTCAAAGCCACACTTTTCCTCCAAGCAATCCAACAACTTGTCTTCATCCACCTCAAACGTATCCCACTCCTCGTCGTAATTCAGGGTGAAATGGTGGGATTTGCATAGAGAGGTCACGTCGATCTGTTCCAGAGCTGGAAGACGAGCGTGGAGTTGCGTTGCGTGAGTCGATTTGCCTACTCCTGGTGTGCCTGTCAATACAATGTTGGGCCATGTTCGACGAGGCATTTTGGTCGAAAAAGGTGGGGTTGGATGCAGTGGGTGTTGCAGTAGGCTGGTCAGCGAGTTGAAAAGGAAAAAAGTTTGGGAAAGCGCGGATGTGCACTGGATGCAGGGACAAGTGGATGGATGGATGGATGGATGGATGGATGGCCGCTGTGGGCAATGGTGAAGAGCGACAAGAATTTTTCGTGTGGCGACAGTCCAGCAACAAAGGTCTCGTCGTGAATGGATGGAGGGAGAAGATCTCGGCTTGGCGTAGTTTGAGTGTCTCGATACATTTTGATACAAATTCTATAATTGCGAGATCGCCGTCCATCCAATCTTGAATCTTGATTCCGAATCATGAGAATCGAGAATCAATCAGCAAGCAGCACATCAGAGCACACCACACCCCTGCTGCTGCTGCTCGCGTGCATGCCGCGGGTGATTGCGCGGAGAAAATTTTGGTGAGAAGCAACACCAAAAATTAGCGATCACGTGACTCTGTTGCATTTGCCTGCTCCGTGCGCACGTCTTTTTTTCCCCCCTCTTTTTGGTGTGCGTGCGCGTATGCCCGTATATGGAGGCGTGTTGGTCGAGCTGCCGAAGAGATGCGTTTGCAATCTTGAATTGTACATGTTGTGTGTGCATGCAGCGACGCCCACGCCTACAGATACGCGCCCACTTCTCACACACGACATCATTCTGAACGAGACTTTGGCTCAGCATTTGATTCAATTAGCAATCGCGAGTCTGAGTGAAAATCTTCATCCGTCAACTAAGCGGCGCAAATCTTGTCTTGGTCATCGTTTCAGTTGCAGCGCACATTTAGTCACAAGTGCACAGCAGCGCCCGCCGCAGCATCGCTCTTTCCGTCATCGCTCTGCGCCAGCACTCGACCCATTCACGTGATTCATCGTGTTCAAGTCCACTTGACTACTTGACCTGCCGCACGCACCAATTACCCCCAATCATCATGTCGCTCGAACCCGACGTGACTGCTCGCTTGCCAAAAGTGGCGAGCCAGCTGATCGTGTACGACTTCGACTGGAGTTTGGCAGATCAGGATACCGACCGGTGGGTGCACGAAGTGCATGCTCCGGACCTTCGAAGAAGGATCAAGGAGAGGGACGGGACTGTTCAATTCACGGATCTTTGGTGAGTCCTTGTCCCTTCTTCCTTGGCCATTTGCCCCCAAGAGGCATGACTAGGGAGCTCATGTGATTTCTCGTCGTTGTGCTCCTCGCTTCGCCGCGCTGCGCAGTGCTGGACTGCTAAGGGAGCTTCACGGCAGAGGAATCACGCCTGACCAGATCAAGGATGCCATGCGAGTCATGCCTTTTGTGAGTGGCATTTCCGTCTTTGCCAGCAACAGCGCGTCCAGCTCTTTGCGCAAATCCTCCTCCTCCTTCAGCTCACGTCGTTTCCTTGTGACAATCCACCACGTCTCATCAGCATCCGGCTATGAGGAGGGGTGTGCTGCAAAGCAAGGTGGCCAGTACGCCGCAGACGACCTTTTTCCTGCTGAGTAACTCCAACAGCGTTTATATCGACACCATTCTTCAAGTGAGCGCTTGCCTCGCCTTCCGCTAGGTCTTTGCTCCAGCCCCTCGCACGCTCATTCTTTCTTTCTCTCTCTCTCTCTCTCTCTCTATCTCTATCAATGCTCAGCATCAAGGCTTGAAAGAAGCTTTCACGGAAGTGGTCACCAATCCTGCCCACTTTGAGGAAAATGGCCTGTTGAACTTGTCCAGGCGCATCCCTGCGGACGCTCCTGCGGCTCAGCAGCACAAGTGCAAAGTAGGCTGCAGTCCCAACATGTGCAAAGGTACGTGTTGCGCCAGCAAGCTTCGACATTCCAAACCAAATACCGGTTCTTCTCAACCCTGGTTTCTCTTTCTTTTCTTTTTTTCTCTTTTCCTTCATCGCTCGCGCACGACACAGGCGAGGAATTGGAAGCTTTTTTGGCTCGTCATGGAGGACGTTCGGCGTTTGAGAGGATAGTGTACGTGGGAGATGGAGGAAACGATTATTGTCCTGTTTTGCGATTGGGCCCAAAAGATGTGGCTCTCGTCAGACGCTACAGAGGACTGGAAAAGAGAATCGAAAAGGAGGGGGGTGTCGAGGCTAGCATCAGATTTTGGGCTGGCGCGTGGGAGGTGAGTCGAATGCTCGGCTTGAGAGCTGCAGTCGGTTCTGCTCATGCGTGCACATTTTCATTCTACGCTGGACCCCGAACAGGTCGAGGGCTTGCTCAAAGAGCTGCGTGGAGAGTATTAGACACCAGAATGGCACAACATGAGCACGCGATGATCAATGGCATGCTGAGCATAGATGTCCATCGTTTCGGAGTACAAGGAGTGCCCGGTGGTCCGCTGCACCACTTGCAACGTCGCTCACGAACGCCCGACGCGCATTGCACCTGCCCCGCTGTAAAATGTCTACCTAGCCTTTCGACAAAGCCCTCCCCCTTGACTTCCTGCCCGCTCCTCGTTCATTCTCGACAAGTGCGCTCTCGCCAGCAGTGCTGACCTTTGGGGCCGTTTGCTGCGCAAAAGGAGCAGCGTGTCGCTGGTATGTGGCAGCTTTCGCGCGCTTCTTGTTCGCTCCGATCTGCTCGACATTCTTGTTACTCTTGTCCTCCTCCTTCTCCTCCTCTTCGTCAACGTCAGGATCCTCGACGCTGCACACGTCGACCTTGGCTCTGGCTTTCGCTTTGGCCAAAGTCTTGTTTGCTTGGCTCCTCTGCTTCTTCTCCTCTTCTGCCTTGGCCCCTTGGAGTCTGAGCTCTTGGACCTGCCGCATCAACTCTCTCGCCCTTTGCCATCCTTCCGAGATTTGTTGCCCTTTCAGCTCGTGCTTGGCCTTGATGGTCTTGTTCGAGCGGGAGCGTACGTCGTCCTCATAGAGCGTGCCGGACAAACAATACAGAGCTTCCACCTCGCGCGACCATACTTGATGCATCACACCCTCTTCTCCTGGCGTTTCCAGCACCATCGGCATCCCTTGAAAGCGCACATCGTTCATGATCCTCCAAAATGGATAGCTGAGCACGCGAAGAGGGGCAGAAGAGAAGTGCGCAAAAGTCTTTCGCACGGTCAGATGGGAAGAGATACGCCGTTCGACTGTTATCCGAAACTGCGTGCGCTCTGCTCACAGACCAAGCATTCCAGCTCCCACATTATCGTGTCTGTCCTTGTGCGAGCCCAGGGCGCCTGAGGATGATTGATGGGCGTGTTACCAAAGAGGAAAGCACGCTCACACATCTACGAGCACGACAGACGCGCTTTAGTCGCACCTCTCTCACCTTTAGAGTCGTTGATGTGGATTCCCTGCAGATACTCTTGGCCCACATTGGCGTCCAGCTCTTCCAGCATCGCGTCGAAACCTGCTGCGTGAGAAATGTCGTAGCCCGCGGCAAAGGCGTGGCACAAGTCCAGACAGACGCCCACTTTTGACTTGTCAACCACCAACGCTGGCGAAGATGGGGGTGGGGGACGGGCAACGCGATGGAGCGGCTCGCAGCGAGTCAGACGCAAAACATGCCGCGGCGCGGCGCCTGCTACTTGCGGGTGCCCAAAAATAATTCTTGTTTGCCTCACCTATGACCTGACCCAGCTCCGTCCAGCTCTTGCCAATGACATTTCCCGACCCTGCCATGTTCTCCAAAAGTATCCTTGGACAGTCTTTGACTTGTTCATGCGCTCTGTTGATGCACTGCGCAATCGAAGCGCATCCCTCCTCCATGCTGCATTCCCCCACTGTGCTGCCCGGATGAAAATTGAACCTATCTATGCCCAAAAGCGCGCATCGTTGCAGGTCATCCACGAAACACTCGAACGATTTCCGCCTCTTCTCCTCGTCCGGATTGGCCAGGTTGGTGAGGTAACATCCATGAGGCAATACGCGAGCCGCATAATCGTTTTGCACCACCGCGCATTTGAAAGCTTGCACATTGACCTCCGCTATGGGTTTGCTAGCCCAAGCCATTTTGGGCCTGACAAACAGCGCAAACGCATTGCCTCCGATGTTCAATGCATTCTTGACGCTGTTCTCGATCCCTCCTGCCATGGAAATGTGCGCTCCGACGTGATACTTGCTCCCCTGAACTCGCGCAGCATCCGCCTGTTGCCCCCGCTGCTGCGCCCCAGCAGAAGATTTCGACGTGCGCTTCTTCTTCGCACCAGGACCTGCTGATAATTGGCCTTGTGCGTCTGAGACCTTCGCTTCGCACGGCTCTTCCTCTGCCGCCGGACTTGGCGATGATTCTGCTGCATCATCCTGAACGGCCTTGTGCCCCTTCTTGGCACATCCATTGCGAATGGACCGCATTTCAGCTGCTGCAACATCCCACTCCATCTTCACCTCCTCGGCTTTTGCTGACCTCTTGGGACGCTTGGATGCCCGATGCTGCTGCTGCTGCTGCGTATCGTTCACCTCATCCACCTTCTTCGCGCCGCGCTTCTTGCCCCGCATGGGCGCTGCCGTAGTGGATGAGCTGGCTGTTCGCGAAGGGGAATCGCGATCGGCTTTTTGGCTTTCTGGCATCACCTCTTCCACCTTGACCGTCGACTGGCGCGCAGACCGACGTGGCATGGTGGCTTTGCTTGCGCCTCTGTGCGCCCCTCGCCTTGGTATCGGGGATTGCACCTTCCTATCACAAGTCTTGCGCGCTTTGAAGACTTTTGGTAGACGGTGAGGAACCTCTTCAAACGGTCATCATTGTTCATTGTTCAAAACGAAACAAAGACGAGATTGACGATTGACGATTGACGATTGACGCGCGACGTGATTCGTCATTCATAGTGGACCAGTCGTGAGCGGGATATGCATCTATGCATCCTCGAGAGCGGCATGGCATGCATGAATCTTTCCCGGCTGCTGCGAGATGTGCGGGATGTGGAGGAAGGCGCACGTTGGCGGGGCGTAGTGTGTCAGCATCATATGCTCCGCACGGCAAGCCGGATGAAAGGCACGGTGTTGATAATTGCGACGGCGGATGGCATCTGCCCTCCTACTTTGCCATTCTCCTCATCATCGTTCAGTCCTATTCAAAGCAACGAGTCTGATCTCTTCAAGCGGCAAGCCAAGCGTGCCAGCCAAGCGATCAGGCCTCATGCGTCCCGGTCGAGTGCATGGAAGAGAGAAGGCGGCGGATGCTGGACAGGTGCTGACCACTGCCACTGCCACTGCCACTGCTCACAGACCCGACACGCTAGACCCGGTCTGAGATACTTTTTTTTTTTTTTTT